TTTGACCGGACCCCACACAAACAAGTTTGCTGATTCTTTCCTTAACTTTTTTGATTTCGGCATTCCAATGATGTATCCTTGGAAGGAAAAGATGTATAATAATAAGGTTATTACCAGAATACCTCAAAGTATGCACTCAGACAGTTCGCCGCGCGTCGGTCAATACTCCAGCTGTACTGTCTTCGTGCATACTTTGAGGTATTCTCATAATAACCTCATATTATTATACACTAGAAATAATAAAATTTACCCATCCATAAAATGATGTACGAACGTGATACAGATGTGTTCAAATGACTGTAATTGAACACCACTGTTCACACAGCACAACACAGTATATTTTGTTGCCATTACAGGCTGTTATTTCTCATTAAATTATTTCTACAAGCAAGACAAATAATAATAAGGTTATCATGAGAATACCGCGAAGTTTGCACTGGGGCAGTACTGGAGGAACGCATCAACCTTCACTACATGTCAGCCAATACAACTGCCGTACTGCCTTTGTGAATACTTTGCGGTATTCTCGTAGTATTGTGACCTCATAGTATTGACTGCACTGTTTCAATGAGATATTTGCTCTATTAGAAGTGCTATGATGAGGTAAATTACATGTGTGTTTCTATAGTGAAAATAGGTCATATTGTAATTATTCCTATATACAACATATGCAATTTATTAGTTAGTACGCACTCCTAATAGAGCAAATACAGTATTATCAAAAAAACTCACCATCCAATACAGCCTGACTACATATTTACCACTAGGGTTGTACGCTGGTATGTGTGGACCTTTACCAACTTTATTCATTGCATAAATATGTTCCCATGGTTTCCACATATGATTCATTGGCGGTGAAACCATAGTACTAGATGGAGCTTCCGGATCCGCTACCATGGTTATCCTCCATAATGTTGTAATTTGACTAATGATCCATCTCATTAACTTATGAAAGAGAAAATAGACAGATATCAGTATACAAATATGCATATCACCACATAAACAATAATGGCACTCTATGTTATCTATAATGAGTAAAAATGAAGTAGCTTCTAATATGTTAATTTTTCAGAGCACTGTGATTATGAATAATCTCTGGTTTGGCTGCCCAGACTTCAAAAACTGCTGAAAAATAATATGTCACTTTCAGCTAAAGATCATGATGCCTTACCAACTGATATTCTAAAAATTATATATGGTATTACGCAACTACTGATTCGTTGTTTTGTTATTTACATTTCAAATTTTTTCATATTTTTTTTAATTCAAATGAGAAATATGGTAATTTATCATGTAACGTATTAATGATAGTACCAGCACTTATACGGCTGGAAGATGAATATTTGTCTCAACAAAAATTTTCCAGATGTCTAGGTGTTCATAGCACATACATCCTAACACGCTAGTATTCATTCATACCACAATAATTTTTTTAGCTTGATAAAATTTCAGCAATCCTCTGAAACTTTCAGTCAATATATATAATGTATTAGTATGAGTAATTCCATTATGGAGATATTTATATTGAATCGTAATACAGTGGCCCTCGCTAAGTCACAAGTGGTGAGAACCAAACAAAAACCGCATGAAAGGGGGGTTTATAAATTGGAAATGGACAAAAAGCACATGTACACACATGGGCTTATTTATAATATGTTTTCTTTATTGGACAATATGTACACCTACCTCGCAATCATGTATGTGTTCATTGGTACTCATTAAATCAAAATCTGTGGCATTTTCATCAAATACAATCGGTGTCTTATCTAATATGAAGTCCTGTGGCCTTTTCCAATGATCTACTTTCTGTTTTAATGATGGTGGCATGTCAATCCGACCGTCTGCATCTTCAAAGAAATGTTGCTGAGAAAAAATGAAAACTACGTATCAGCATCTGAATGCACACTATAAATATACAAGGCTTGAACTTCACATCAAATTGCCTTGATGCTATTCGAGTTTGCCTTAATCGGCTTAATGCCATTCGATAAGGTAAGGGTAATTTTATCAATTTCCGGTGTTCTCTCAACTCCCAAGTTTGATTCCTTGACATAGCTCTGAAATGGTAATAATTCTACGGAATTTGTTTTTAAAATACTCATTTATCATATGCTTGCTTTGCAAATGTTTTTCTTCTTCCAATCACTATGAGAAACAATTGTATTATATCAAAGATACAGCAACTAAAAATTATTTGGCTTTATATTATATAAACCATGTGAAAACCATAATTTTTCTTGCACTTGGCCAAATTTTATTTATTGTTAAATTTGGACTTGACAAAAGTGTACTTGAGCATACAAAGGGGTTACAAGTTATGTATCATATCTCATGGTATATTGTATGCATTCAGGTTCATCCAGTTTATACCATAGTTGCACTGAGAATTGTAAAATATTTAGTCGATCACAGAAATTATAAAATTAAATTACAGGCGTGGGTGCAGCATGGAGCGTTTATCTCATAAACATGGGGATACGAACTAACTTGTACAATAATTGACTTACAAGATTGGGACTTTTCCCCTTTTCTTTTTCTTTGGTCTTGTGTGGCACTTCCCACTTTTCTTGATTGATGTCATTGTCACTGAACTCTGGCCATATGACTGCTTTGTGCCTCTTTGACTCACCGGTTGATCCAATTACACTAGCCGCTATTGACGCAGCTCTGAAATACAAACACAAAACATTGGTCATCAAGATGGGTTTCTCGTTTTACAGATTTTTGTGAGACAAACATACAGGACAGACTGACACATGGACAGATGGTGGATACATCATACCATACCAAATTAACCTAAATGTAGAGTCTCTAATCACAGATCAAAGTAAGATGAGAAACTACATTAACTTTTCAATTGAAGTTATGATTAAACTACTGACATGAATTGTTAGACCGCACACAAAATTATCTATTAAATATCTATTATTTACTTTACCCATAACTTTGAAGATTAATTATACAGATTTTTTTTTTTACAGAGTGAAAATTAGCTAGAATGATATATGATCTATGATATTATAGGTAAAATGTATGTCAATTGGCCTGGGGTAACTCTGTTTTCTCTGATTAGTGACGAGAATTGAAAAGTGTATAAAATGTATAAAAACATGAAAATTCAGCAGCTGTGGTTGTGCTTATAATTTAAAACTTATCAAATGGTAGAATACTAACATGCATAATGACTACACCACTCCAAATACAATAGTATTCAAATAAATACAGCCACCATTTATAGTATTAGTTACAGTTACAGTATCACTATACAGCAAAAATGTTTTATTTTTCACAACTGTGTATTGTGTAGTGTTTATGCTTTGCTTTTCAGGTTAGGTACTTACAACTTAAAATGTTATAATTGTTATTTAATACCCAACTATTCTTTCACGAGACTTCATTCGTTACACAACTATTGTAAACAGAGTAATGTGTTTATGTGTGTCTCTATATATTCACACGCAGCTTGTAAACAGAAAATGGCTACTCGCACACCCTTCAATCTAGCAAGAAAATGGCTGACAAATAAACAAACACTGATGAAAATTCAAAACAGACAACTGTGACAAAATTACACAGAATGAATGTTTGAATAAGAGGCAGAAGTTTTTAATACCAGTAGCTGAAATAAATGAAAAAAAAAATATTTTAACACTTCTAGCGTACAACCTCGGCCACAAAAGCCTCATGAAGATTAGAATCAGATGTTTTAGGCAGTATTCTACATCAAAGATTGCTACTACTACTTTTTTTACTATATTTATTGGTCTTAGCAGCTTTCCACAATGCCCTGAAGATAGTATTACCTGTGTTTCCTAACCTTAGAAAGTGCATAAGATGTCACATAAGGTATCCCAAACTGAGTTCATATGCACTAAAGCATTACAGATAGCATCGAAAATTTTGCAACTCCGAACATTTTAACATAGACATTAAAAAATGGTAAGAAACGCCATGGCTACTGTAGATCTGTATCACAAGACACCGGTTACTTTGTTCGAGACATGTTATTGCTCAGACAACTATAGAAAGAGAGATTGGTACTAAGCATGATTTTATTACAAAGGTGCTTTTGTTAGATAGATTTGTATTCACACGGAATAGTTGGGAAAATCATCGCCCCGGAAGAAATCAGAGTAAAGTCAACAAATTACACAAAACACCCTTTGAGCACTTGAGCTGTGTCCATGATTTACCTAATTTGACAGCGTTATACATTATATCTGAACATGAAGCTGAAAAATATGTAATATGTATTGCATTATATGAAACATCCGTTTGTTCGTAATTATCCTTAACATTTTTACGGAACTTAGGAAATAGCGATTGCACGGTTACAGTTTTATTGTTATTACCAACATTATGCACACTCTGCGGTTTGATGTTGGGCAATTTGGACGGCATACTTTTTTGTAACTCATGCCTGCCCGAACTCGTCATAATCGCGTTAAAAATACGCCCCGTGAATTCAAAACATAAAGATTACAATGGTAAAGAAGGCGCTATTTACAATGCGCGCAGATTATGACAGCCATTTTGAAATCTGAAGAATAAACAAATTGGAGCAGCACTTACTCTTGTTTGTTAGCCGAGCCCACGCGGTTTGCTGATTCCTTCTTTTTGGCAGCTTTGGTTGCCATTATGGACGTCCAAAAGAGTCTGTTTTGGTATCGGAATTATAGTCTTTTTCTTCGATCGAGCTGAAATTCCCGATTCAACTATCTCTAGGCACGAAAGGTGGTTGCCACGAGCAAAGGTCACGCAACAAACTATATACGCATGCTCAGTGACCGTACGACAATCCACTACATAAATCGGTTTCGTTGTACGTTTTCTACCAAAATTAATCAATTATTTTTCTAAAATAAATTTTACAAGTGATTGAGTTCAAAATTTTATCATAATAATTGAATTCTACGCAAAAAGACACAGCATTTACTTTCCTCGCTGTTGCCCTCTATAGTTAGTCCCGCTAAAGGTTTTCGTTTTTACGTCATTCCTCAAACATTATGGTACCATTAGAAACTCTGAGAGACCAATAATTCAACAATTTACATGGAAAACTGACACCGCGGTTTTACGACAACTATCGAACTTCGAGTCACTGCGAAGTTACTTACATGATCGAGCCTACCCAATCCTAAACCAATCAGGTGAATCAGAACACAGCTTGTTTCTTGATACATAAAGGCAAATTGTTACATGTCACTCAATTGCCCACAACTTAAAATAATGAGTAAAAAAGTAAGAAAAAGTGATTTATTTTGTTAGAAAACATTATTATCACTGGTGTTGAACACCCCCCCCCCCAAAGGAAGTCGTTTCAACTACACGGTTATAATAAGTTTCGGAATTGTGACCCGGGTGTGTTTTCGTGACCCGTGATTGACAGGTTTATTTATTTATTTTATTTTTTATTTTTTTTGAGAATCGCAATTAGTCTTAATTATATAACGTTATTTGTGGCAATGCACCCCGTTAAACATATACACACAGACTGTCTAATAGTCACCTGACAATCACGAACTGTATTTTCGACATGCGATACAGCTACAAAACGTTAAACACGGTACACTTAAAACGTTACAGTAGTTAAGTGTTTGTACTTTTAGAATCTGTTATATACAGTTTATATACAGTCTTCTGCGCTACGTGTACAATCATTAGACAAAATTGACCTTAAATTGTTGATTTAAACCAACTCAGTGATAACACTTTTACAAAAGAAATTGTAATGTATTCTATTTTGACCTAATCATTCAAGTGTGGCGTCTTGGTACGGATCTTTTTAAAGTTGTATAGTACATTCAGGACGTGTTTACGCACCGGAATAATTGGGCAGTGGAAACTGATTAGGTTTTTCTTTTTTAGAAATAGAATAAACATGATATAAAGTTGTATCGCCCATATGTGTTGGGAAAGAGTTCTTTTTGTCCCCCACCCTTGAAATACTAATCCTACCCCAATCCCTACCCCTACCACCCATCACTCAGTATAATTTGATATGTCCCGCCTACTGACACCTATAGTTATCTCGAGAGGCTTACACAGTGAATAGTGGGGCCTGGGTATGGGTTAGAGTTAGGATTGGAGGTGATGGTACAAAAGAAACATATTTCAAGTTCTGGCACATACGTAGGCACGTGCTGGTATGCCTAATTTGTTACATTATATCAGAACGCGCTGTAAGCACAGTTAATTTGTTGAGTATGTAAGTATGCCGCAACTTAGTAAACCATCAACTTTGTGAGGGTAACGCATTGAAATATACATGGTATATCACTGATCCGGGACCTGACCTAATTCGAATGCCCGGGGTTCATTGGCTCGCTTTATGATTAGATCACGAAACGAGTTCATTTAGTTGTCTGGGATTTATATAAATTACTTCATTAAACAAGCGGTTGGCAATTAGAAATACCGGACGATAGCAGAAGTGGAAACCAACAAAGTGCACAGGAAAATATGATAGAAAAATATCCTGCAGGGATCAGTAACAGATAAATTCTGCACGCCTGATCCTTGGGGAAATAATATTCGGGTACAAATACAGGAAATTCATCATTGAAAAAATAGCACAACACTAAGAGAGGGACTGAACACATGTTTTGTACAGTTTTTTTCTGTCATTGCCTCATCTCCCACCCATCCCGGAGTTTCTAATAGTCCTAATTAAATTATAGTTTCGCCAAAGACCACTCGGGCAGGTGTGATTGCTATCGTCCACTATACATATACTATTAGGTCATAGCAATAACAACGGTCTATTTCTAAATTTTATTTTCTGGCGACATTGCTTTGTTTTCCACAAACGAAGGTGCAATCTTCTGCTAATAGAGTTATTTAAAAAAAAAATCATCGCAGAGACAATATTAGCACCACTAACTACTGTACTGTAACCAATGGATAGACGGAGAATACAAGTGTATTTGGGTTTTAGTTCATATAATTATACGTGATCGTGTGTGAACGTTGATAATTTGATTCGAGAAAATCAAGGGTCGATAATTTTGGGGGGCATCAGAGCTTTGATTTAGGCGAGTTCGGTGTCTCGTCATGATTTGATTCCACAACTGTGTGATACTACCAGCTTAACAACATAGTTTTCAATTTGGGTACCTTCACAACCTTTTTTTATAAAAAAAAACTTGTATTATAATAATAGTTCTATTCATAATATTGACGCACAACGCAATGATTACAAAACAAAAATTGAATCGACTTCCTCGCTTGGTGAAATAAATACATGTAAATTGGGTTCTAGTTTACGCTGAAATGAAACCGGAAAGCATGCGAGATTATTGCAGAGTTTTGTTTTCTTTCGTTTTCAATTTAATGTGGTTCACCGAACTCGAAGTAGATGTTAATTTGACCGTGACGATTTACATTTACTTTGCCAGACTGCGGACAGTTGCGAACACTTGCCCGTCAATCAACAAAAATCTCAACCTTAATTTTTGTTTCAATATTCATCGATATCATCATTTTTCCGTCGTCGTTTCACGTTTCTCTACACTATTTGACATAGATAATGATTTATTCCAATTACTCGGCCATTTTACAGACTAAAAATCACGGTCAAGTTAGTTTTAACTTTTTACCAATACACGGTGACCCAAGGTTGATCGCAAAGGCGAGTGTATGATTCGTGTCTTTGAAATGCTGACATACAAGTGCAGTATGTGTATACATGTATATTGCATATAAATACTCAACACAATTTTGCATAAATGTACATGGACCTTCAGTAATGCGTTGCTATCAATCTACATAGTAATGCGAGTTTTGGCGAGTGCATGGTAGCCCCACCGAGACACCGTGGCGGTTGTATCTGACTTTTAAAAAGGAAAATCTAACGTCGGGAGTGATCTACACACGTCTATAGGTACGAACTCGTGCGTGTACTTGTCACTGTCTGATGCAATGGTTGGTCTTTACACGATAACTCAACCACAAAATCACATTATCGTGGACTTCACATTGAGATATAAAGGACACATAATAGAATCTTTTCAGTATCGACCTTGATACGGTAACTATGCGACCTATACAATATAACACTATCAACATGCCTGTAACTTAATTTCAAATAACCTGTACCGGGAGGGACGATAGGCACTTGGACAATGTAAACGTTTGTTTGGTGTGTCCATTAGCGTAAATGGCTTTAGATAACGAATGGATTGTTGTTGTATATGCTAAAATATCGCTATATAATTAAATCAGAATTAAAATTGTTTTTACCTTCTAGTGGAAACTTATTTTCAATGTGGTTTTTAAATGATTTACACCACGGTGATCACGAGAATTATTGGTATTTCATGTCATTATTGATTATTTGATGATTTTAGCGCAGTGAAAAACTTCGCAAGCAAATATTTGCAAACGGTATTTTCAAGTTTGCTATTAATTTTTGGACACTGTAATAATGGTGTGATAATCATACCGTGACGTCATCGTTCTCACCTGTCTCGCCAGTATTCCGTATCCAAAGCAGACGGGACAGAACTTCGCCGAGGATCATCGACTGACGGAGCGGACATTTTGCGCGAATTTGTATCACGCTGAAACTCCTCAATCCCCGGTAAAGCAGAAATTTTTCCCTCTCCACCTGGCACCGGGAATGCAGACGCCCTTCGACCTCCGGGTTTGGCGAGCTCAGCAATATTTAAATTCACCGAAGCTGTCTTTTTCTCGGCATGAAGAGAAGACCCCTTTCTGTCAATTTTACCGCGTGATTTCCTGCCTTGCAGTGGCATGGGAGATAGTTCCGGAAGAAAATCTTCCTCTTCTTCGTTAACGCAAATATTTTTCGGTAATTTCATTTTTTTGCCCAAAATTTTCGACGCTAGTTCATAGATCTGTTCCAACGGTATGGGCAACACTGGATATATAAATTCGCGATGGTAAGCCGTCATTTTTTCAACTTGTTTGTCTCTCTCTGTGTCGGGAGAGGTCCGATCCCTCTTTAATGCCATGTCGTTCACGGTAGTCAAAACAGTAACCAGATGTATATGAATCTTAATATAACTGAACAGCACACACTGTCGACAACACGGCGTATTTTACAAGGGGGTGCGATATTTAAATAGACCCCTGATTAACTAAATCCTTGCCTATATCCAGTGGACCACTTGACATTACGAAGTAGCAGAACTAAACGATGAATTACGAGACTGAATTACAACCAGTCAGGAAGTCAGTTTCAACAAGATTCACGCCCAATTGTAACCCAATCCGACACGACCTAGGTTGCGATGTCCGGCGTGTGTTGCCAACCGCGAAATGCCTAAAAGAGGGAAGGTGGCCGAACTCAAATAACGGTTGACAACTCTGTAACACCTATCCGTGATATGTCTGTGTCAACTGCTTAAAATATATCACGTCCGTCCACCGTTACCATGCAGTCGCACTGGAGCTCATGAGCTATCGACACCCAACAAGGCTGTTCACGCATTGCACATACCAGTACACGTCTAATCAAATGTACACGATGGTAGAGTCAACAATGACGCCAGTTACACACACGCATGTGCTTCACGACCAACGAAGACAAGTATTACACAGTAGATGGGTAGATTGGGTTGGTCACATCAATACAGTCCTAGCTTTTGTCAATGTTTACCTTGCCTAGTTTACTTAGGATCTTTTTTAAAAATAACTTTGCATTGCAATTGGAACAACAACGATGCGATTCAAAAAAGTGTACCTTTTAGAATGGAACTATGCGACTGCACGCACTGTGCACGGCTAAACCACAATTGCAATGATTTTACCTGGCGGGTAATTGGTACACACAGATACGGTCGTACATCTAAATTTGACACACTCGTCACACTGCTACTAGCGTTACGAGAACTGTTTGATTGGTGGGTGGTTTGACGAACAAATCACGAGTTGTCGTGCTAGGGTTGAAGTTCGATGTCTGATATGACCTTGGTTGGGGAACCGACGCGACGACACAGGTTGCAGATATAGGCTCAGGGCTAGTTAGTAGTTGCAAACACAGTGAGAAACGGCGCCAGCATAATGAATATCCGACATTGGCGGAGCTAGTACAGGTCCATTTAACCATGCGAATCTTCCAAAAACTCGCGGAGTCACCGCTACGAGCTACACACACACACAGCTGGTGGCAATTCCAAATATTGCTATTCATATGCAATACCTGCTTTGATGTTTACAGCCTGCTCGACAAGGCTAAACAGGTAAATCAACATTGCTCCTTCAGTTAAAGTAGTGCGCGATCGACCGCGTAAAATCACATTTTGACCATAAAAATGCCAAAATCCGCAGCTAAGTAATGCAATTTGAAAATAACAACGCATGCTAAACACCGGAACGGGGAAACCTGTATTAATATAGACTGAATGCAAGCTTTCTTACTCAACATACCCCGATTCGACGTGTTCATTATAAAACTGTTATATTGTTTTTTAAATAACTACTTCAATGGACTAATTTTCTTTTGTGGAAATTGATTCATGAATTGTTGAAATATAAAGTAATTGGAGCAATAACACGATGAACATTTATATTGTGTCATTAGCTGTTACTTTAGACCGATAAAACGCCTCGAGAGATACTTTAATAACGAATCCGCCAATAGCATGGGAATCATTTCTTTAGAAAAAAAAAACAATTTTCTGACCACTTTCCGTTCCATGTGTTCTATCCATTATAATGACGACCAACGATCATAAACCGTGCACAGTACCGAGTACAGCACCGGTTACTAATATACACATGTAGCCATGGCAACCCTAGATTTGTCACTAGCGCCGTCAGTATAACAACGGCACGCGCAGACGCTACTGCATTGTTGTGAGCGGGAATGCCTTTTATTTCAAGTTCAAGTTTCTGCGAAGCCTGTGTGTGTAAATAACGCTGTTTCCGTGCCCTTTTCGGACGATGCTTGTTGACTAACATATTTAATAACATTTCTACACTACGCCGCTTTCAATAAGAATTCAGTAGCTGTTAGAAAGTCCTTAAAATGGTTAAGCGCCATGTTTTTTTTTTTGAAATTGTTAATTATAACACGGTTCCTAGAATAATTAACCGTGAGTATATGTGGAACGAGGATTAACAATGGCGCAACAAAGAAAAACAACTCAAACTAGGTTCGAGTCATTTTTTGGAAACTATTTCTAAAAATAAATGAAAGAAGATGTATACTTTTCACTAATCTAATGGTTATAAATGTAAATTGAATGACAACGGGCGTTCCACATGCCTGAATACGTCATTGTTACCACGTGACCGTCATTCATATAACCTAAACGAAATAAATGAAGTACACACTGGCGAAATAATGACAAAGAATTATACTACTGGCTG